GGGGCATGCAGGACATGGTGGAGGACTTCAAGAACAAGTGAGTTAAGGAGAGATATGGGGTAATTTCCAGAACTGCACACTTCAAGACCAGGTTGAGATGTGGTCATGATTTTGTAGCAAACCATGTCCATAAAGATGAAAATCACAAATGTTGCTTAAAAACAAACCTAAGAGAAATGAAGCAAAAGGCCGGATAGGTGCATAGGGAGAGTAAAAAAAGGAAACATTTAGGGACCACAAAAATCATCTTTGAGGCTTACTGTCAAGAAAGCTGACCTTGGATATATCCATTATGGAAAGTTCTGACCCCAGGCTGCCTTTCTCACCACTGACGTATGCCTTTCTCATTCTAGATATGAAGATGAAATCAACAAGCGCACCGCTGCAGAGAATGAATTTGTGACTCTGAAGAAGGTGAGCTGATTACAACCAAGGCCTCATGTTTCTTCGCAAAAGAAGAAAACTCTGGAGTCCTTTCCACATCTGAGAGGACAAGAGGTGGGGAGACTATAAGATAAGCAGATGGGGAAGGAGGGCTCAGCTGACCCCATGGTGTTGGCTTATTCCCCAGGATGTGGATGCTGCCTACATGAATAAGGTTGAACTACAAGCCAAGGTAGATGCTCTCATGGATGAGATCAACTTCACCAGAGCCTTCTATGAAGCCGTAAGCACCTTCACCTTCATTTGAATTACTCTAATGGGGCTCTGCAAAAGGGTGGAAGATCTTGGGGTTGGGAAACCTATAAACTTTACAGGAGAAAATGATCTGACCATCTTATGTTCTGCAGGAACTGGCTCAGATGCAGACCCACATCTCAGACACTTCTGTGGTCCTTTCCATGGACAACAACCGTGACCTGGACCTGGGCAGCATCATTGCTGAAGTCAAGGCTCAATATGAGGAGATTGCTCAGAGGAGCCGGACTGAGGCTGAGTCCTGGTACCAGAGCAAGGTGAGCAGTGAGTGGACAACTGCTGAGAAATTCTTGTGTTCATTCCCTAAACACTAGCAAGACTACCAGGCTTCACAGGGAAAATGCACTTCTAAGGAAGCTGGTGTCCTCTCACAGAATGTGTACCCTGTAACGATAGAGTAGATATTGACAGAATTTATGTGCAATTCTGTAAGTGAAAGAAACCCATGCAGGAGAAAAGCTAATGTAGATAAGAACCTAGTGACTTTTGCATTAGTGTGACACTGACGCTGCCTCTCAGAAAACCAGTGCAGGACATTGCTGGTTCTGAGGAGAACTAGAAAGGCAGTGGTTTCATGATAAGGTTGGTCTGAGATTAGTGTAGAGGATCCAATGACCTAGTAACATCAGCATTTCCTAAAATCTTTTTTGAAAAGCCATTGGGTTTAATTTATCAAAAGCCTGACACAGTGTGACAGTCAGTGTTAACATGTGAAAGCCCATATACATCAGCTTCTCTCCCTCTTTGCTACAGTATGAGGAGCTTCAGGTCACAGCTGGCAGACACGGAGATGACCTGCGCAACACCAAGCAGGAGATTGCTGAGATCAACCGCATGATCCAGAGGCTGAGATCTGAGATTGACCACGTCAAGAAACAGGTATGGTGGGGACTAAGGAAAATAAAAGCATCCTTTCCTTGCTAGGCCACCACGTGGTCACCAACCATCATTTTTTATTCCTGGGAATTTGGGAGACAATAGGGAGAGGACACCATGCAGTGTCTACCCTGAGTGAGTTCCCACAGGTAGGTGAGATAGATCCCAACCCTAGAGCATGATATAAACAGGTGGACAAAACCAATTTCCCCTGTGAGAGCTGTAAAATATAGTCTAGACGCACTGAACAGAGATGAGATGGGAACAGTTGATTTGGGAATGAACAAAACTGGGAAAGAAAAGGCAGGCCAGAAAGTGAGGAGGATTGGTGCAAATCTGCCCAAGATTCAAGGTCAAAAAAATGTTAGTCAAGTAAAGACACTGGACAAAGACCAGTGTCACCTAAAATTGTGAGGTATAAGAAACCCCTCACCTCCATGAGAATGTTTGTGATTTTGTACAAGTTAGTGTGGCTGCTACATGAGATTATCAAAAGCTGTCAAGATTCAAAACAAGTTAGTGGGTACATTTCTTCCTTTGTCCCCTAATCTATATCTGCTGTAGCACCTTCTACCAGTCAGCCCCCACATCGTCATGCAGGGTGGTTAATACAAAGGGGCACAGGTTTTTTTCAGATGACTCATAAATTAGATAAGGTTTGCAGAATGGACTGAGACTGGATAGAAAGGGTCTGAGCTGCATTTCTGTGCTATCAGGGCTCTGGCTCTCTTCTTCACTGGGAAATAGGCACCACAGCTAGTCTCCTTGGGAGGACTAGATTGCAAGTTCATTCTGCTTATCTCCCCCCTAGTGCGCCAACCTGCAGGCCGCCATTGCTGATGCTGAGCAGCGTGGGGAGCTGGCCCTCAAGGATGCCAAGAGTAAGCTGGTTGAGCTGGAAGATGCCCTGCAGAAAGCCAAGCAGGACATGGCCCGGCTCCTGAAGGAGTACCAGGAACTGATGAATGTCAAGCTGGCCCTGGATGTGGAGATTGCTACCTACAGGAAGCTGCTGGAGGGCGAGGAGTGCAGGTGGGCAACTCACAACCTCCTCTATCATCTGGGTGATTCTCCATGATGTGCAGCCAGTGAGCCCAAGCTTAAAGCACCCTAGTGATGGCCATAATTACTACTCTCAGAGAACCATGGAAGAGGCAGTTTCCCCATGGATGGTCCTCACATGGAGGCTTTCACTGTCAATGCTATAAAATATAGTCTAGAAGCATTGAACAGAGATGACATGAGAACAGTTGATTTGGGAATGGAGGAAACTGGGAAAGAAAAGGCAGGCCACACTGGTCCAGTAGTGGTTCTCTGAGGTCTCATGCTCTCTGTGTCTCCTCCTTCCTAGGTTGAGTGGGGAAGGTGTTGGACCAGTCAACATCTGTAAGTATCTTTGCTTGCCTCCCTCCCTAACCTTAAGTTCTTCTGACTTGACTCAGGCTGACATAATGAGCTCACCATGTCTGTGTGTCCTTGTCCCCCTCCCTTCCACAGCTGTGGTGCAGTCCACCGTCTCCAGTGGTTATGGCAGTGCTGGTGGTGTCGGCAGTGGCTTCGGCCTGGGCGGAGGCAGCGGCTACTCCTATGGCAGTGGTCACAGCCTTAGAGGTGGCTTCAGTTCTGGCAGTGGCAGAGGCTTTGGGGGTGGCCTCAGCTCTGCTGGGGGGCAGCAGTTCCACCATCAAATACAGCACCACCTCATCCACCACCAGGAAGGGCTACAAGCACTGAAGTCCTCCCATTGGCTCTTGGTCCCACATTGTCTCAAGGCCCCCTTTGCAGCTGCATGGTCCTCTCTTCAGGTTGCTTCTTCTCTCCTGTCTCAGATTTCTCTTGGCCCCTGGGTTAAGCAGAAGTTGCCTAGTCCTCATTTCTTCTATCAATTCCTGTTAGATCTGAGCTTTCATTACTCACCCTGAGAAGGTCAACAATCAATGTCATGCAGACATGTAGACATCTTTTTGATGTTCCCATATTATCATCAGATATATCAGTCTGCCATAATTCTGGTAAGAAAATGACGTATGCCCCATGAAAATTGAAACTTGATCTACATCATCTACAGAATGGGGAATCTTGCCTTTGATGTCTCACTTCCCTGCTCATTATAACTCCATGCAGGAGTTGCCCTTAGGACAAATAAGTTATCTTCCCATCAGTGTCCCTAGATGGTATTGACACAACACTCTCATGTACAGAGTAATATCCCTGCAAATATTTTTCTCTGCTCTTTTGCTTTCTTTTGTTGTGTTCAATAAAGCATATTTCTAATACAAAGATTTTGTGTTAGAATGTATCTCTGATCATGTATTGGTTCTGAAACTTTCTCATACCACACAATGATCCTCATATTCAGAGAACCATTTCTCAGCCGCACTGACAATTTACCTTGCTTCATGCCCAACTCCGTCAGTCAGCACTGTGTGAATCTCAGCTATCCTGTGAGTTGATGACTACCAACAACTATTCAGTCCTCTGCTACTCAAGTCTCTTTCTCAGAATGAAGTGTTTTAGAGAAAAGGAAGCCAGGGTCCTGGAACCTAAATCAGTATAACCTCATAACAGAGGGGTTTTGTTTTTCAAGCTCCATCATTTGGTGGCTTGGCCCCCACCCATTTTGTGTTGTTGTTATTGCTAGTATTAGGTATCTCTAGGTATCTGAAGAGTTTTTGCATTGTGAATTAGAACCCTTTCTTTCCTGTCATATTTTATAGTCACTAAAAGGTGGTGCATGAGAATTGTTGATTTCTGTATCCACTCACCTTGCTGAACTTTATCCCAGTTATAATGATAAGTGACGAGTAAGAGCCAGGATCCAAGGATCGACCTGCCTCCTTTCAGAATCTGTGCTCTTCCCCCGTGGGAGGGAGATATGGTCTCACCCAGACTCTGGCTCCATCAGTTCACCTTCTGGCCCCGGGGAGAGGTGCAGGTATGAACAAGGAAGGACTGACCTGGCCTTCCCCTAGCACTCCAGCCTTTTCTTGCTTTGCATGCCCTCTGGTGGAGATGCCATTCCCCCAGAAAGAAAAGAGCAGGCACAGGAGTGGGATGCTCACTAAATGGGGCATCTGCTGGATGATGACATCAGTTGATGCCATATTCACACACTGAGGTCAAACACCAAGCCATGCTGCCCTTGAGCTTGAGAATCCCAGCCCACACTGGGCGGAAGAGGGATGATGCTTTTGCCCCAGCTGGCACAGCTTACTGCTCTCTCCTCCTCCAGCTCTGGACTCGATCCAAGCTTTATTTTGTCTTTTCTCTTTTTGAGAGCCCTTCCTGGTCTCTGAAGCCTTATTTTCCCTACTCTGACTTGTTATTTATTCTTTGGTAATGAGGAGTGGTGAGTAGAATGTGATTGTCTTTAGCCTATATTACCCTTGTCTCAAAAACTGTCTTCCAAACTTCATTATTTGTATACCCAATGTCACTCAGAAATCCAGCAAAGTCATTCAGGAATACAGTGTAAGATTACCTGTGGCA